ACTAATTACGATACCTACTAATTACATTAAATATTTTTATTTAAATTACATAATTTACGTTTCCCGACATTATTTTTATCACGTTATGTTACTTTTTCATTCATAAAGTAATGCGTAATGAATTGTTACTTTTTCAAAATTTAACGACAAATTCAGTCCATAACGAATATAATAAGAAGTGGGTATACTATTAATTATTAATATATAAATTGTATAGTAGTACATGTAATACATTAATTATGTAGGTACACTATATTGATAGTGGATGGATGTAATACGCACTAATAAAATACGTAAAATGCCTGCATATTTTATAATATTCATCATTATTATCTAAAATATTCAGAATAGTAAATACATTTTACCGATTTTTAATTTTTCTCGAATATCTTAGCCATTAGTCTATGTCATGGACTCTACATTCATAACTTATTTTAATAACGTGGAAAATAACACGTTGCTCCAAAGAAATTATTTTAATAAGATATTTTGTTACAATTGCGTTAATTTAAATAATATATAATCAAATTACTACAGCGTTACTGGCTACTACAATAGTAATTTGTATTCTTCGTTACATTACTATCCAACACTGAAACTAACCAAGTAACAACTAAGTTCATGATCAGAACAATATATCGTGAAATAACAAAGATATAAACTATAAAATATCTACCTTATGAGTTATGAGTTATTGTATGATTTCAACCAATAAAATAAAGTGGTGGTTGTAATGTCAGGTGCAGCACAGGCTGCACCCGTTGGACCGCCTATGATAATAGTTGTAACATTGTTGTGCTTTGATTATACCTGCCTTGGGCTGTGTTCTGTTCATGTGCTATTCACACTTATTTTATGAGTTTACATATGTGTGTGCGCCTCAAAAGTATAAACTTAGGTGGCAGCAACTACTCCATCGGTCTTCTCAAGTGCACTAGCGGTGGCGGCGCCGAGCTCAGTATTAAATGGAAATGGCTATAATAACTTATAAGTTATGTTACGGCAATGCTGAGCCATTCCCGCCTTTGTGCAAGTCCTGTACAAGAAAAATTTAATATTCAAAATTTTTGTTCATTATAACATTTAATTCTGAAGCAATGTCTAAAATATATGTATACAAATTAAAGTCACTTGCCTCACCCTCAAAACCCCCGCTGATGTAGTGGCAAATAATATTTATTTTGAATTACAGCATAATAAACTAAAATTGTTGATTATTCATACAATTTTGGGAAACCCTGGTCCTATTATTTTAAACTTAAATAATTAGATCATATAGATCTCAAAATAAAAATTAATTAAAGATTTGATCTTATGTAGCATACACAAGTTGTAGAGCATAAAATATAGTGTAGCAGTGGAAAAGTGATAACCAAGTATTTTAAAATTAAAACATGACCTGATTTATTTTAAATTCTGAGTGGAGATATTTTATAATTTACAATTTTTTTTCTTTTTGATAAGATATTACATATTTATTAAACATAATTAATTGAAGTATGTTTTACACTTAACTTATGTGTTCATTATAATATAACTGTACTTTTTAATTTTGAGATTGATCATGAAAAACGGTTGAAGCTTATTGGATGTGTTAAGAATGAGTTGCATCATAAATCTAAGGTTCCATATTTTAACATAAAAAGTCCTACAGAAGATGAATCATTTACAATGGTAAGGTTTCAATAGTTATATTTTAAATACAATATGTTTAATATTAAGAAAATGTCTGTTTAAGTTGTATAATGTTATCATTTACAATTTTTTGAATCAGTTATTATACATTTATTATATGGTATTAAATTTTTTCAACATTAATTTTATTAAGTTTTTTGAATAATTTATTTTAGTATAATTTGCAAGGGATTAATCATTTAAAATTCAGTATAAAATAATTTTCTTGTTATCTATTGAGTTATATATGCCTATATTTCGACAATTTTTTATACATGATTGAGTTAAATTTATAATGGTTGAATAATATTAAAATAAGTATAATTATCTGTATTAATTTATTTTTCTTATATAATGTATGTATATTCTTTTTAATTTAGCATAATTTGAAAGGACCTATAAGTCCACTAGAAATGTCAGTTAAAGGAATCAGTCGTAATAGTACTTCTAAAATAATAAAAATAGAATGTCAATCTGTCAATTCTGTTTTATTAGATAGTGACCCAAATGATTATCATGAAAGGCAAGTAGAATACAATATTTTATGTATAACTTTAAATGATTGCTATTATTTTTATTTGAATTATTATTTTATCATTAGATTGTTTGTTGCCGGAAATGTATGTTTGAATGAAAATGATAGGTTAACACTTTGGGATACAACTATGATGCCTAACATCCCTGGTATGCCGGCAATTATTTGTCTTATGTTCTCTCCGTGTGTAGAAATCAGGTACACTCTTTTAAAAATAATTATTTACCTAGAACATGTACTTTATTCATATTTTGTTCATAGATACAATTCTTCTTATACTAAAATGATAGGAGCACTTTGTGGTTTAGGGTATAACCCAGAAACTTGCAGGCCATTGTTTGAAGAAAATGATATTGAGATAACCTTTGATACTGTTTTTGATCTTAATTTTTTGAACAAAGTAAATTGATTTTAGTATTTTGTATTTAATAACTTACAGCTGTTTAAAATGGTTTTTATTCTGTATTAGATAAATGTTATAAGAATGCTGTTAAACAAATGTGTTAACCCAGATGACGAAGAAGGTCCTGGTGATATTTTTCAAATACAGCATAGCTTACAAATGTCTTTAATAGAGTATGTATTTAATATTTGTAGTTATTTATTTTGATTCAATCCTCTGTACTCTCTGTTAAACATAATATGTTCAATGCAGGATTTTCAGCAAGCCCACTAAGTTCAAAGGGCCAGAACCTTACTCAAGAAAATATATGTGGTCGGAAATACGAAAATCAAGACTGCAGTCGCCATACCAAGAAAATAGCCCTGTTAATCATCCAATGGCTGGTTCTGATGTTTATAAACTATTATGGGGAACTATTTTATCACAAAAAATGTCTGTTACAGAGTGTAAAGATTTGATGTTTAAACTAAGCAAAATCAAAAGATTAGAAGAATGGTATGTTCAAAAAATGTTTATATATTAATTTATGTAACTAGTTAAAAATTACAACAATTTTTTTTCTTTTAGTTTGAATCTAAACAATTATACCAGCGAAAGGTGTTTAGAAGAACTTCGTTGCCCATTATGTGATTTGGTGTTTACTAACACTTCGTCCATATTAATGCATTTTGACAATTACCAGCATATTGAACGTTATAAACTTGCTAGAGAAGAATTACAATTGCACTACACTGGACCATTTCGAGATATTAAAAACTTGTAAACTGATTAATTCTGATGCCATTTTTCAATGTATAATACAATTTAAGCTCAAGTTATGTTATCTTCATAAAGAAAACATAATAATTTTCTACACAATTTTGTTTTTTAATTTACTTACATTTCTACAACTAGTATTGGTGATACTTATATTTTTAAGTAACAATAAAGAAGTTTTTTAATTTAAATATTTTTAGTTTTCTTATTTTAATGGTAGTTGATTATAGAAAGAAAATATTTAGCTTATTCATTTTTAATAAACTGTATAAGCAAATTATAGGAATTATATTTAATAAACACCGACAATTATTTTCTTTTATTTCATGTATTTTATTGATCCATTATCTATAGAATTTTGAAGTGAAAAGTAAAAAATTTTAAATAAGGAAAAATTGCAGTAGAAAATTGGTAGTTGGTGGGTGTACATTGTACACATTATACAAATACTAGTGCTGTTAGTGGTGTCTTTGACTTGATTTTTTTACTTCGTAGGTGAAAGAGTTGTGCATACATACCATTTTTAAAAACTTTTGATATCTGTCAACCATGGGCAGATAGGTACTTTTTTTTATCGTTTTATATTTATTAGGGCCACATATACCTAGCGCCTATATATTGTATATAAAAAAAATTTAACTTCTTTTGAGTTTTATCTTTAGCACATTTACTTAACAACCTTGATCCATTCTTTTTTTTGTTTTTGTTATTTGAATATCGATTATATTTATTTATATATATATTTTATACATTATTTAGTCTTAGCACAATAGTACCTATAACATAATAGATATGTATTAATACGGGTATCAACGAGCTTATACAGAGGCCTTTAGGCCTTAACGGAGCATGCAAATATTACAAATACGCATTAATACTGTATAGCCACCAGGGCGTCAGCCAGTATTATAAAAATTTACTCTTATACTATTATTTTTTTTTCTTCTGGGATTGGGGCCTACCGGGAAAATCCCGATTTCCTAATGGGCCTATCCACCCGTGCTGTCAACTGTTGTTTCCACAGGTTTTGCATGTTTTGTGAGTATGCCATACATTTATATACAATATACATGCTTAGAATATGTACTTCGTGTTTTAGTGGTGGCTGAGAAATTGAATTTAAAACTTACTTTTTTATAGGTATTTGCGGCCTGTATTATTTTAGTGTCATTTTTGACCATTTGTTCCACGTTTATTTTAGTAATATATCTAATTTGCGAAATGTTGTTTTCCCCTGTCTTTATCTCTATAAAATTTTTTAGTTAGCTAGTGTAAAATAGTTGTGCTATCAAAGGAGTCAGATATAAAATATTCTAAACATTTCTTGTTTTCAAAAATAATAATTCCTCAGCACATAAATAGTCCCTAAATTATTTTGGAGTAATAAAACAAATAGAAAAAATAAAATTTGACTTTGAACCCAGGATGTCAATTAATGATTTTCAATTGAATTTATGAATAATATATTTATTTTAAAATAAGCTAAGCTACACAACTAAATAAAATAAATACTAATTTACTGTTAGATAAGATTATATATAGACTATTATTGATTGTTATATAGCATATAAAGACAATTACTAGTAATACAAATAAAATAACATTCATACCATGATTATGAAACAACTAAAATATTACTTTAAACTAATTTTTATTAGTAATTTATTAGTACAATAATTACGCTCCTTGACATATCAGTAACTTTACACATAAACTTTAAAAATAAAATTATATTATATAATTTTAAAATATTGGTTCATATTTGCTGCGTTTCTTCTTTTTATTTTTTGATTTGTTATCTACAAAAAAAAAAATAGTGTTTATAATAATCAAATAATTGGATACAATTGGTATTTTATTGCAAGCCATACTCATATTATACTACTGTTAAATATAGAACTACATCAAGTATAATATATGTTCACTTTAAATTATTATATAGCAAAAATCACTAAATGGCCCAAGATAAAAATTGATACAAATATAAAATTACATATGAGAATCAACTTATAAAAATATATGCCAAAAAAAAAATTCATAATAAATAAATTTTGGTTTTTGTTAACGAGACGCAAAACTGCATGGGACTATGGCATGAGCCTCAAGTCCGCCACCCCGGGTATACAGGAAGTGTGCTGAAAGTCAATAGAATAAATGTAGAATTTGATAATTTCAACCCATGACTGTTTGTAGGGTTGATGACTGATGAGCCAGTTGATTGCTAGCCTAAACGGTAAAATTATTTAACCGTGCAGTACACTCAGTTAATTGGCATGTGCTCATTTTAAGGTAATATGATCCAAATTATGCTTTAGAGCTGGCCAGGCATTTTGATTTCAAAAGAAGATACATTTTTAATATTTGATTATCAAACAAAGATCACAAAATTATTAAATACATCCTTAAATAATAAATATATTTATATAAATACATACCGTGCATGTTCATGTTGGCTACAGCATCTTCCAGAATATTATTCATCGACATAGAATTTGGTCTAGAACCAAGTACTGGCCATTGAGATGAGACATTGGGTAAAACAGGATCTGACGAAGAGGAGTTAGTAGCAGTACTTTCATTTTGCAATGCCTAAAAAACAAAATACGACTACTGTATTAAGAAACGACTTAAGGAATATAAATTGTATCTATAATATTATGGTATATTTTGTTCGCAATGGAAATAAAAATATTTTTAAAAACCTAAGACAAAAGAACGTGATCAAAAAAAAAATTTGATATCAGTTAAGTAAATACAAAACTCACTTTTTGATGACTAATTACTAGGGTTTGGGACTTGTTGCATTTGCATTTTGCTTAATAATGACTACCGAATAGTCTAAGATAAAAATTTGTTTTAAGTCATTTAATGGATTGACATACAAACATTTTAATAGCATATTTTTGTACATTTCGCCATTTTCCTAGCAAAACACATATTTGACAAATTTTGGCAATTTCATTGTTATTCATAGCATATTTAAGCAGTTTTCGTTTTATGTCGGGTAAATTAATTTTAAAAGTTAACATTATTTTTTTTTACTTTCATGCGTGGGTCAAAATGCCTAATCATAGAACGAGTCAGGACAGGGTAACTACAAGAATATCTAATTGTTTCTCTGCATAACTCGGTTTACTAATGAAGATGAGATAATTACATTATTAACTGAATTTGGCATCGAGGGAAATACCCAATTGTTGTCAAAAAATTACGAATTAAAAAAAATTGTCTTAATTAAAATGAACAAATTACATTATTTAGTTGCCATTAAAAAAATATTCAGTTATTCTAAGTGTATATTTCCTACAATTTGTGTGCAATAGTACCGAACCCTACTCATTACTATTTTATAATAAAACATATTTAATTCCACCATCTATACTCGGTTCAACTAGAGAACTTGCTGATTTTGTGCACCTCTACATGATATACTGACACAGTACTACAGCACATTCTCTAGTTGGACAGTGTACAGGCGAACATTCATAAAGCGATTTTGGTAATGAGAGCTAAAAAAACCAACAATATCAGAATGATGGAATTCTTATATTTTCTAATAGAAAATATACTTAACTTAGACTCCTCATTATGTACACATGTTTGAACTTAAAATAAGTTAATTCATTAAAGTATAAAAAATTGTAGAACAATTCTATTATTATAAAATAAATACATTTATAATATAACAATTATTAATAATAAGTAACACTGTACCTTTGCAAATGATAAATTACTTGGTGAACCATTAGAAGTATTTCCTATAGCATAATCTGAAGTTGAAGTTATACCAATTGATTCGCTCAAAGGAATCATGCTATTAAAATATTCACAAATTATTTAAACATTTCACTATAATTATTATACATCGTGGAAGAATTAAAGACCTTTTGTCAGCAAATGGATCATAGCCACATTCTGGGAATAAACTCTTATTATGCCATTCAGGTAGTGGCAATTGTTTTTTCGAATTTCTTTCTTCAATGCGTTTAGCAAGCCGTTGTTCATCACGTGCACGTCTATCTCTAATAGCTTTTTTTTCATCCAAGTTGCCTACATCCAAAAGAAGTTTTATTATATTTTTTTTTATATATAATTTGATCCATTAGATGTATAAATCAAAGTTTATTAAATATTTTCAATTATGTCAGAATTAACAATGGCCATAATTACTTTTAAATATAAATAAGGTTTCTTGACTGACAATATTAGTCAAGTCTAATTCAACCCATTCAAAAACAGTTGTTATGGGCAAATGTAAAAGGAATCTATAGCGTTTTCTTGATGCTTCAGTCATTGATAAGGACTGTTTTTCAATTACAGTAGCATCTATCTGCTGTGGACTATTTTCAAGGCTGCCAAACATACATTCTAACATTTCTACATTAACTGCTGATAAATATATATGCTGACCATCTAAAGCTATCAAAATTAACCAATATTATAAGATACCAATTGACATTTAGTATTGTTATTTAATATTTACCTTGATAGAAATAAAAATCCTTTTTTGCAGGTTTTTTTGGTACATTCTCTTTAATATTGACAGCGTTAAAATTATTTAAATTTGTGTTCATTTCTCTAAAATTTAAAATACTTCATGAATACTTATATACCTAATTGTTTTCTGTATAATGAACAATGATTCCGATTATTTGAAAAATACATAATAGTGGACTTTATTAATAAGGGTTAAATACACTTAAATTTCTATCATTATGATCTTAACATTATATTTATTGATATTTAGTTGTGTATAATCCTAAATATAAACATCTAGAACGCAACAAATCTATAATTTATTACTGCAATACTATAATTCACTATTATTCGACAAGCCGTAAGAAGCGCCAAACGCCTAGATAGTTTCTACAAAAATTATAGTTTAGACTTTTAATTTATAATAAATAAATTGTATGTGTTAATAGTTAATGCATGATTTATAGACTGTAACATTTTATTACTGGATGCGCTATTTTATTGTACATCATTATTGCAAAATAACAACTATTCATCTAGTATTTTTAATTGATTTTATATTTAAGTCAATTATAAGGAAGTTTGCTCTAAATAATCTAAGGTGTCTTATCAATTTTAACTCCTGCTATTTACACGGTTGCTATTTTTGTTTAGCAGCTTTTATTATTTAAATAAGTTTTAATTAAAGAATATGAATGTCTTAACGTATTATATATTATCTTACTTCATATGTAAATTTGGATTTTCATCTAAAACACTAGCAACATTATGAGAACATCCGGGAATCTCAATCAAGTTCTTTAATTGTGATTGCTATAAAATACAAATTTGTATTATTTCATAATTAACTGATTGATTATATTAATTGTAAACACTCATCATTATCTCAAAAAGTTATATTTTAAAACTATTTTATTATTTTAACATAATTCTGTTAGGTATTTAAGATTTTAGAATGACTAAGTTCATTTTCAACATTGCATTCTAAAGCAGAATATTTTTTTGAGAATTTCGATATAATTTTTCAAACTTGTTATTAACGAGTATTAAGTATTTAGTTAAAATCTTGAAGTTGAGCAGAGTAAGTGGCAATAATTTTGCAGAATACACAATTCCATTCATCTAAATTTTAAATACTAATGAAAAAATAACTATCTAAACTAACTGATTCATTTGAAAATTAACTTCAAATCACTTAAATTCTAATAAATACTATTTTGCTTCAGAATGCGAAATTAAAAGTGTAAATACTCAATTAAAAAAGTAAAAAACTTAAAAAGAATTGTTTTGCAATTTGAGTAATGATTTAAAATAATATATTTTCAAAATTTTTTTAACACTTTGAGATACTGAGTGTTCACTATTAAAAGATCTCTCTGTAATTTGTATAATAAATATTAATTGTATTCAAATTACTAGTGGTGCCTGTGGTGGTGATCCTGAATTTTCATTAATTGCAGAACTCTCACAGTTAATTCCTTTTATTTCAAAATTCTTATTTAAAAAAGAACAAAATTAAAATTTATCCAGTTAAGAATTATTTTATTTTACAAACTTACTGGTTCCTGGTTCATTAAAATATTTTCTCTTTTTGATAATAATTCAAGGGCTTCATATATATATTTTTTTTCTACATCTTCCGTATCCCAGTATTCTAAAAGTAGTAAAAGAGCTTCTCTTTCTTGGTTCAAAATATTTAATACCTAAAATGTTTCATTATTAAATTTGTGTTTATAAATATCTTAAAATGTTGGTCTCTCACTTGACTTTTATAACCAATTAGAAGTCTAGAATAAGCTGTAGAGTAATTAGTTTCACAAATTGATAAAGGAATCTCATCCGATGGTTTTAAAGTATTTTGACGGAGTTCAGACATTGGGTATGCTTGCAATGAATTTCTAGAGCGTTTCATTAATTGTAAAGTTATTGATTGACCAACGCAGCATTCCTCTTTAATAATTATTTCAACGCTAAAAATTACCAAAAATAATAAAGCTGCATAATCATTTTAACATTTTTTTTTAAAAATTTGTTTGTATATATTTTTTCTCATTCTCTCAAATAACTTGTATTTTAAATAGTAAAAAATACAATAATAGAATGTGGTGTATAGTTATAAATGCACTTGATTTAATAAACATATGTTTTAGAAATAAGATAAACTTTTACCTCTGCAATTCTTTTTTTAATATTCTAGAATGGCATATGGGACAGCCGGCAGTATCGAGTTCTTCATTTATATCTAAATAATGCAAAATGCAAGGCCAACAATATATATGACCACAGCGAGTCATTTTTGGTGTTATTGGTATATCCATACATATAGGACATTTAATAAATTGAGTAGAAAACATTTTCTGCAACAATTAATAACATAGTAAATACTATTTATACAACTGATTATTTTAACTATTAACATGTTTTAAACATATATTTGATTAAAACTGTTATCACTTTAAGCTTACTATCTGTTCAATACAATCCCAATCAACAATTTCATCCTGATCAAACATCCACTGAGAATAATCTTTTCCAAACTTGACTACAAATTGACAACTGTTTTAACAAAATTATTTATCAAAGCCATATTATAAAATATTCATTCAAAGAATTAATAGTATTTAAGCAAAAAATAAAATACTTTGCTATCAAAAAGTGTTTGACATTGAATTTCTGTGGAAATTCTTTTTTCCTAGACCCATAACCACTTCGCATATTCCATTTATTATTATGTTCCATGTGCCTTAATACAGGCAATATATCTTCGTCATCGACATCATTTAATGATTCAGTTACCTAATAATTTTAATTAATTAGTACAACAGATTTAAAATACAGAAAAGTACGTAAACATAAGTCGAATTTATTAATTTTTACAAACCTCGGAACTCTTCTTTCTACAAAAGAGACTAGCTCGATGTTGCGGCTGTTTACTGTTATTTGAGTTCTTTTTAAGGCTGATATTTCGGTTAGCTTCAATTCTTTGTGGCTGAATGGTAACAGCTTTTCCATTTCGACGATTTGAGTGCTTCAAATTTGATGAATCTATAAAACAGAAACAAATAGGATATAAAATAAAAATAATTTTTTTTTGTCAAAAAGTAAAAACTGATAATTTAAATAGTATAGGTAATATATTATGAGATAATTTCACTACGCAATTGTCATCATTTGAATATTGAAAAGTCTCAGTGTTCTGTGCCGAAGTAAGTCAAGCAAAATCATATCCAAACAAGGGTCAAGAGTTTTTAACTAACGTTCAGCTGTTTTTACCTCTATACACGATTTTTAAAAAGATGGCAGAAAATTGTTTGTAAATCAAAAGTTAATTTATATTTTTGTGTACATAGGTGGTTAATCTAGTTAAGAACATGTTAACGCCAGTAACGGAATTTCGTGAAGACGTTAGTGGGATACAAAACCTTGGATAAAGATAGCATGGATATGCATATTCCCGAAAAAGCATAAAATAATTAAAAATTTAAAGCTATTACCTATGCATTTAAAAGTTAATACCATAAAAATTAGCATATGCGCTAAAAATAAACAAATATGCACGAAAACATTCTATCTCGTCGTTTAATATACAATAAATAGCTTCTAAAAATAAACAAGACTTTGGATTATCCGAAAAATGACAAAAGTTGGTACGATCGTAGTGTAGTGTACAACAATAACACTCAAATTATTTGGGCCAAACACTTATACATCAGCTCTTATTACTGACTACTGAGGCCTGAAACTAAAATATTAACGATATTGATATCAAAGATTCAAACCAATGAATAATATGAAATATTTGGTAATTAGATATCGTTTCTGAATACTGAAACCGTTATCGTCCTATCGCCTATAAACCTATCGGGAGTTTTAGGTATGGTTAAAAATGTCTATTTTTCTTAGTCTTCCCTTTTCACATCCAAGTTTTACACTTTCAAAGCGCTTGGTCCTTCCACCTCGCTTTTACTCCGGCCACCTATTTCCGTATCATTTTCCATTTAGTCCATCCAGCATCCATCTCTCGCCCCCTTTCCTTCTTCATTTATTTCCATATTCACTGCGCTACTTCAGCCACTCATACCACCAAGGCGACACCAAGTTACTTCTGCTCATAAAGATATAACTCTTAAGAATGAAGTCTAGAAAATTATAGTCTTTATGCGGCTTTGTTCCAAAGCACTTGCTTCGCGCGATGACTCAGTAAGAAAAGTGTCGAATAACGCATTAAGGTACGTTTTCCCTCCAGCGTCTGGACGCGGCGTCAAGCGTCACTACCGGTCTGGACGTAGGTCGCGTCTAGACGCCGCGTCCGACGCAGCCATGCTGTTCTCGCGTCTGACGTTGCAGGGAAACCGTACCTTTACCGGTCTTGATACCTATTGGTACTTGGTTAATGGTTAATGGTTAATGGTTAGGTTAGCGAGTCGTTTAGCACAGGACGGAACAGCCTGCTGGCGTACTTCGCTGAAGCAGTGAGGCACTGAGGCCTACGGCAGAACGGCCTATCTAGTATCAGGCTATATGCCTATACTGCGGACGGGGCGGTATCATACTACCACCACAGAATAAATTTCATTTATGTGGTACCACCACATTGGAGGTGTTTGGATAAACAATAGAAAATACATGTAGCCAAAACAAGCAAATAATAAATAGGTTTGAAAATGAAAATCTTTTATTTTATAATTTTAGATGGAAGATTAAAATTAATTAATATATTTATTTTGTAATAACTACGGGACACAAACTAAGATCATGGTCATAACCTAAATTATAGTTTGGTTTTTCTTCCATGAAATAGTGGTGTTGTCCGATGTTAATTGATAAGGGTTTATAACCCAAACGAATGGCCGCATGATGTACGAAATACAGCCCGTCGTGAAAAACTGGAAAACAAAAGAAATATCTAGTCAGACTGACCAGCTGAATGTCCGCGTTTGCCATTCAGTGCTAGTTTAAGAATTGTTTAAATCAAAAGTAAATCGATCGATATGGTGAATAAGTGCAGCGTGACTGGTTGTAAAAGCTTATATTCGAAGGACAATACCAAAGTTAGATTACACAGGTAATCTACAAGAAACTGACTCTGAACTACCTCCGTTTTGGAGGACGGAGGTTCATGGAGTGCATAGCAAATTGATTTGAAATATATCAATTTGTTTTCATTCTTATCTATTTCGTTTAGATTTCCTCTGTCGAATCCAGAAACGCTACCCTTGTGGATAGCTGCCACTGGTAGGGAAAAAGATTGGACACCTTGTAAAAGTAGTAGATTGTGTGGCAATCATTTTGAAAATTCTGAATACATAATTGGCCATGGGAAAAATGTTTTGAAGACAACATCAGTCCCAACGATTGATTATAGAGTGGAAGTTATGGTATGTTTGAAACTGATTGATTTAAAATTTAAAAAAATTTTTTAACATGTATGATTATATTATTTTAGAAATACCAAAAAAAGAAGTTGCTAAATGTAGATAACGATGATGAGCTAATGATTAAACCTAAAGTCAAGCAAGAGGTAATTTATAGATAATAGTTAATTAGTTTTTAGCTTTTTTACTATTTTTAAACATTTCTATATACAGGAAAGTAGTGATACAAATGTTGAAATTGTCCAACTTGACTACAGCGATATGTACAATTTAAAGTATGAACATCAAAATCAGGGTAAAAATGATGATCATGGAGAATCATATTATAAAAATGAGGATGAAAAATGTACAAATAAAAATCTCAATTTTTCTAACTTGGAGACTAGTTATGATAACGAACATGATTCTAGTCACGATGACGAGGCCGTAAAAAATGAATATGAAGATTTCAACTATGAACTGAAAAATGATATTTGTAACAGAGAAAACCAATGGTATGCTTTTTACATATTATAATATATTAAATTTGTTCCTAAAAATAATACTGAACATAATATATTGTATTGTAGTTACATGTTTACAAGCAGTTTCAAGGAAGGCGTTGAACCTATAGTTTTAACACCTCCAGAAGATAAACCACCTGAAGAATCATTAAATATTATGGTAAGATTATATCATTATACCCTATATAAGTAAATTCTAGTTTTACAATGTATAAATAGAAAGTACATACATTTTATTAAACAATTTCAGACTATTGACCAAGCAACAGCAGATTTAAATTTTAAGAAAATTATGGCCTTAAAATTAAAAAAACAACGGCGCACTAAAGATATTTATTCGTTGTACTTCAAGACTCTGAAAAAAAAAAGGTTTCGAAAACAAGAAAAATATAAACAACATTATTCTAACAATGATGAAGACTCATTTTCAACGTTTATAGGAGCCCAAATGAAAGAGTTGCGTCCATTTAGAAAGGTTTATTTAAGTGCAAAACACAGAATTCAAAAAGTTTTAATGCAAGCACAGCTTAAAATAGCAGAGCTAATTTAATTAAGATCGAAAAGTGGCATTATGACAAGTAGTTATTGTTCTATTCTGTAATACATTAATCCACATATACTATTAAAATTATGTTGTATCGTAAATTATTAATGAAATGAATGCAAAAGAATGTATATTTTATAATTATAGATGTATAAGTGTTTCATTTAATTCATACATTAATACATTATTATTAAATAAAACATTTTTATTTATAAAGTTTGGCTATAAATTATACACAATAAACTCCATAACTAAACATAGATATTCAAAATACAAATTTATTTTTAAGATGATATTACTTGTTTATTGTATTGTTTTTATCTTACAAACACTTAACATAGTAAATTTAGCAGAAACAGTTATGAGCATTTTTATTGTAAAATTGTACATTGAAACTTATACTAAAAGATAATTTTCTTACTTCTTATCTTCAAGTATGAAATACTGACAATTTGCTTTAATAACAATCATTAAAGGTAACAAAATTGGTTCTGCTCAATACAAATCAAGTATGTTGTGCAGTTGTAAGACGAATACAGCACAATAACACAAATGTATACCAATAGACAAGGTATGGGACATCATTTTGGGAACAATACTCTAGTTGAGATTTTTTCAGGTTTTTGTTTTTTTTTTTATAATTTAAATTTAATTGTTGGGTTGATGGATTGCATACATTTGATGTACTACAAAACAAAATAATATGGAAAATAAAACAAATATCTTATGCAGGGTCGAATCTAAGCATATTTACACCTGGGGAGAATAGAATACGCCTTATTTTCAGTAATATACAGAGTGGGGCGGGTGAGGTTACTTCCTTACTTTATAAAATCATAACACGAAAAGTATTGGTAATATTGATTTAATTATTTTTCCTGTGTGTAGGGATTAGGGGTACATTGTAAGTTCTATTTTATTTGGTTTTAAAAACGATATCTTGAAGGTGGCCACCGTTCTCGTCAGTGCACCGAGATAGTCGGAATTTGAAATTGTCCACTTTTTCCAGTATATCTGTGATTATGTCGGCAATAGCAGCAAGGATATTGTTTTTGAGATGACGAAGGATCTTTGGACGATCCGTGTATACCAAAGATTTAAGGTAGCCTTACAGGAAAAAATCATATGAGGCTAAATCCGGCAGTAGCTGGCCACTGAAGATCACCGCTAAGAGAGATGAGCCGTCCAGGAAAGTGTTCACGCAAGATATTTATTGACCTTGCCCTGTGAGCCGTGGTGCTATCATATTGAAACCACACTTTCCCTACATTCATTTCTTCAAGTTTGTGTGGAAAAAAATCCACAATCATGCTGATATAAGCATAGATATGCTGGAAAAAGTGGACAACAATTTCAAATTCCGACTATCTCAGTGCATTGAAGAGAACGGTGGCCACCTTCGAGATGTCGTTTTTAAAACCAAATAAAATAAAACTTTAAATGTACGCCTATACACAGAAAAAATAATTAAATCAAAATTTTCAATATTTGTTGTGTTATGATTTTTTAAAATAAGGAAGTAACCACGCTCCATCCTGTATTTTTTTCTTAAAATGTTAAGGAAAATAAGCTATGGCTTACGTTCATGTTTTGAAAACCTTTCCCTCTAAAAAAATTTAATTCAGTTGTTCTGTAGGTATATCATTAAAAGAGTAATTTATAGGGTTACCTATATAATATTATACTATTATAATAATAAGGTCCACTCGTCACATACTTGTTTTCAATGAAAGGGGTATATAAAAATATTACATGCATATGTATATACAGAGTGATTCAACAAGCATGCTCACCCCCTTTCTTCTACAATATTGCAGTTATTCAAAATCTGATTTTTTAAATATACTTTAAGACCATATTTTCAAAGTCTCAAGATTTTTTATACTACCTACTTAAAGAGTATCTTGTAAAGATATAAACTTCTGTTTTTAATTTGAGAACACCAATATTCAACTGTTGAACTATAAAATATATAGTATATAATTTTTCTGAAGTTGTTGACGTATCAAAATCAATATTCATATGAGTAGTTTTTGAGTTATTAAACTTTGTGTTCTAAGGATAAAAAGTCCATAGTAATGAGTTTATAAGATATAGGGGCCATGGTGAAATAGAAAATTGTAGTCATTCATATTAATCTATCGAAATAAATAATTTGTAAAAATGGCCCAAGTATAATAAATACTTAATCCAATTTTATGTCTATTTTATATTTATGTAAAATCAGTTTTAAGGACTATTATCAGTGGTGTATTGGTACGGATACGCGGGTATACGCCGTATACCCGTCAGCAGATTTTCGATTTTCAGCGTATACCCAATGTAAAATATCATTTTACGGGTATACGCTCTTAAAATAACTCGAAAACCAATTATTCATAGGAAAAATTGTTATTTTAATTTTTAATATAATAATGAATTTTAAATTAAATTTATTAATAACATTTTGAAAAATAGATGTTATTAAAATATTATGTAATATTACCAATATGGAGTATGAATGCTCAGTCCATGGTTCTCAACCTGTATTATGTCATTTATAAATTATAACGCGAATGTGTTTCTTGCGATGTTATGTTTTTGTAACCACTGATGTTATTAAGTGTTTATCAGGCTATGGCCAATTAAATGGTTTATGGTGTTTATTTATAGATTTATTTATAAATTATTGTTACTGCAATAATGGGTATTTTCCTTCTTGAATCTTGCTATTCGAGTTTACGACTTATTGTACTTATCGTAGTATCGTTTGACAAAGAAGAATGAATACTAGTCGGTTCCATTGATGATCAGTGTTAATTTTAATATTATTATATTAGTAAAAATACTGAAAATTTAATAAAGAAATAAAATAAAAATAATATAATATAAGTCACCTAATTATTGTAATGATTATTGACTACGAGCGAAGCGAGAAAATTTTTTTTTGGTAGATTATACATATTTTATTAGTGCGTATACCCATAAATATATTTACCAATACACCACTGACTATTATTCTTAATACAAACATTTTAATAACTAAGAAACTACTCAATCAAATTTTAAATGTAGTACATCAACATTTTCAAAAAAGTTATACACTAGTTAATTTATAGTTAAAGAGGGGGGTTCTCATTTAAAAAACAGAAGTTTGTATTACCACAGGACACTCCTTAAGTAGTAAGAAAATTTATGAATTTGAAAATATGACCTGGGTATATTTAAAGATTTCCAAAATCAGAATTTGAATAAATTCATTATTAAAGGAAAAAATGGGGGTGAGCATGCTTGGTGGATCATCCTGTATTATATCAAAATGTTTTTAAAATTATATTAATTTTTATACACCTATACATATAGTAAAATAATACTCCCCCCCCCCTTCGTGTGTATGCCACTGACACACGTATACGCTACACAGTAATTATAAATGATTAAGAAATAGGTATCTTATTTTACAATAACAAAATAAGAAAATCTATGAAAACAATTAAAAATATTTAGATGCAAATTTTTCTAAAATAAACTTATGCATTTTAAATGTTCATTTTGGAACTTTTCTTCTCACAGAAAAGATATCTAGCCCAGTGTGCTATAAATCAAAAGCATATTGAAAAAAATGCAACTACTGCTCCTTCAATAATAATGATTAATGTCAGTGGTGTTTTCACAAAAAAACTATCATTTATGAATTTAAGGCAAAGAATAAAGATGCAATGAATGAAAATGAAAGTGAAAATGAAGTATGCAATGAATATTGTAATTTTATGAGCCAAAAACTCATCAGTTTCAACCCACCAAAAAGCCGCTCATAAACAATTGTTTTACAAAGCTCCTACAGAATACACTCTCAAACTTTACAAAAATACATATTTTGTTACCTTGTACATTTTTATTAATTTACCAAGTATTAACAATATTTCATAGGTCAGATTTAACATTTTATAACACATTACCTAACTGAATAACTCTTTTTTCAATTCTTATTAAATACCCTGTGATGGCGGCAACTCGAACATATTTTTATCAAAATAACAGCAATAATCAAGGTTATCAGTTACAAACAATGATTGACTGTAGACAGTGCTATAGACCAGCGTTTCCCAAAGTGTGTTCAGCGGAACCTTAGGGTTCCGTGGGACAATGTCAAGGGTTCTGTTAGATGTATGAGATTATTGAGAAAATTGGGTTTATTTAATGTTTGTTGTTTAAATAATTTTTGATTGAAAATTTTTTTTGAAACTAAGTTTAATAATGAAAAGTCATTAACAGTATCATTAAAATATTATTTAGACTTGAGAGTTTAAGGAATTGATTTTTCCTTTTTTAATTCACAAAAATTGTAGTTGAGTTGGATTAGACATTAGGGTTCCGTGAAACACAAACAATTTTTTAAGGGTGCCGTGGTCGTAAAAGTTTGGGAACCGCTGCTATAGACTATACCAATGAGTGCACTTATTTATTTTATGGTTGATAAGTCATATGGCAATAAATAATAACACAAAATACGGATTGCTTAATTTAAAAATAAAATTATGATTTATGATCGTTTATATGTGTGTAAATATTTTTACAGGGTATATGCTAATTCAACAAATAGAAAACGGATAGAAGGCATATACCCTTATATACCTTTTACAACACCACTATTACTCGGCATATTATAAATGCATTAATAAAAAATAACTAGCTTATTTATGTATATTTAAGTTTTCTATAATTTGGTAGTGATGAAAAGTTTCAGCGCTCACTTCTTCGGACAGTTTAACGACAAATAATATTTCAAAAATAAATTCAAAAGATGAAGACTGGGACACTTTAAGACTGCAGGTGTAGCCGTATTAAACTTTTAGCCGTATGGACTTAATTTATCTTAAAAATGAATGCAATGAAATAAAACAAAATTTACATCAAAGGAGATTGAGATATTTTTATGCCTGAGGTTAAATCCCCAGCATACCCATTACCCGTTCTAGATCTTATGAATGTATAATAATTATTTATTTTACATCAGTATATCGGCACTATAACAATATATGTCCGTGGATCCTATCCCATCATCTCAATAGAAAATGGGGCAGTTACCCATTAAAAAATTTCATAGGTAACATTGCTTAGTTTTCATTATTGTACAAAAAATATAAATAATAAACTACAACATAAATGTTTAAAAGATATTAAACATGTATCTTGCATTATAATATGCACTTTTAACACAAAAATGAATAAATATGCACAATTTTACTAAGTTGACAATTTATGTACAATTTTCATTTTTAAGACTTTAGTTTATAGCATGAATTTCAATCTTGATATGTTATAAATCAAGAGTATATAAAAAATATGCAACTCCTACAACTTCCGAGCACTATTTACTACAAAAAAATTTCAATTTTAGTAAAAACAAACATCATTTAACAAGGTACCTATACTGATTAATGAGTATAATTAATGTAATCATGAGAGACCATACTTTTTTTTCGCTCTAATACTCTATAATATAATATAATTTAGGTATATAATATAGACAGTCATAGTTATTATTATGACACAATTTGTGTAATCTTATCATTGTTCTTATCAGAAAATTATTTTTAAAAGTATGACTGGGAATTTAGATATATCACCATTACATTTCATATAATAAACAAAGAATGTATTCGACAACGCTATTGCCAATCATTAGTACATGCTTATCGTAACAGACGTGTTTAATGACTTTGAGCAACTTTTTCTGGAGGTTTTGAACTTTATAAAACACCAACAAGATAACGGCACTAGTTTTGAGGGGGCAAAGAATGACACAATATTATTATTACTTCACTATCGCATTCTACTGGTACTCTTAGAGCATAAAGCACACTGCACATCGGTTTAACTCGTATCACCACTAGCCCTAAGTACTTTGACCTCTACAACGATGGTACATAGGTGCCTGACCTACCTGTCGATTTCTTGGCGTCCGTCTTACTGTTGGCCTGCGGCAGCGACTTCGGCGCGGGCACGTTCAGTTTTCTTTCCATCTGACGGTTGTCCGACATCTGTGGTAGTCGCACGAGGGTTGAATGTGTGATCTCCAGGAGGAGAATAGGATGGACGTGAACCGGACAGCAACATTGTATTCATTGAAATGCCATTGTCACACGAACGAATTTCAAAAACAATTTAATCGTCGTCGTGGCCCACGAAATCGGGTCGGGGATCGGGTTCGACGGACGAGGCACACCGGCAATCTGGGGGCGGTGATTTGAGAGTTGGTCCCTCTCTGTTCCCGCTCTGATCCGGCGACAATAAACAATATCAAGAAGGCGAGTAATCAAAGGACGAGCTCCTTGGTTTGAGACAAATCCAAAAGCGTAAACTAGTGTTTCGAGCGGATATCACGCTCAAGGCGACGCGAGAACTCTGCTCTTCCGTATCGTGTGAACGCTGTGTGAAAACGACGTCTGCGTTTGCAAAAACTGTCGTCACTACTCACTCGATGTTTGCCCGAGATGGCTTATACTTCTTAGATGGCACGTCGTGCACGTCTGTCTTACAAACTAATACAAAGTCGCAACGAACGAGTCGTCAAAACGTACGGCCGTGACGATTAAACCCAAAAGGCCAAAACGTGATTGCGTATCGCCAATAATTGCACTATAATATTATTATCATAATAATAAGATATTAACACAGTAACCACATTCTATCGAGTGTTATCTACCTAGGTTGAGTATTGTTCTGTGGTAGTGTAGTAATGTGGAAATAATAAAACGCAGGCTCTTGATCGTTTTTCCTCCATGAAAATTTGAACGTTTTGGAGTCCATTTGGCGCCTTGGAAGTAATCGTAGTTGTTGTTGTATTTGTATTTAATTATGAGTTATTACTTGAATTATTATGGTTCTATGTTATTAGTTTATTACTAATACAAATATCTAATTCCAGTTGTCCCTTTGCACTCCGTTGACCTTAAAAAAATGCCACCTGTTATTTTATGATTCAAATGTGATTCGATTCGTTATTCAACACTTTTTGTAAGCCGTAGGGATGATCAAAACTTAAAAAAAGAAAAAATGTAAGTTTAAATTTGATTTGTATTTTATTGTAAAGATTATTTAAATATATTTGATTAAATAAAAAATAGTCAACATAATTTATGAAGGCTGCAAATAATTAAAACAACACACTTTTAAAAATCTGAGCGGAACGGATGGTGGATGGAAAATGACTTCTTAGTTCTTACTAAAAGAAGTATTGGAATCCCTCCCCCTTTCCGTAACATTAATACTTCAACACCCATGTATATTTTAATTTATCATAATGGCAAACAATGTCTCAGTCTTTGGTCAAAAATTGTTTAATATGCTGTCCATAATTTGATAGCAGATAGGTATCATACCGTTAGCTAGTAGGAGAAAATATTTTATACTAAATTAACAAGATTGTTACATAACAAATTATTTACTGATACAACTGTTGCATTTGTATCACCACTTGTATTTTCATTATTATTTTTGGGTGTAAAATATAATCAATTTTGTGTGCCCAAAATATCTTATAATATGATAAATATTTATTAAAATCATAAACCTTATGCTCATATACTGACTTTGCCTTACCCTTTACCTATAATAATAACATTAGTCATTATGCATCGTGAAGGCACGATTAAATGCCTAAGTGACCGATAGAACAAAAGCAGTTATATAATAAATATAGGTATAATATTAGTTATAGTTCAAACCACCACACAATGGGTAATTGTTCCGATTTTAATTCACATCACCAGTCTACGAATAAAATACAATAAAAGAGTCAGTCTATATGAAAATATGTAAAACAGTTAAAAATAATCTTAAATAATTTGAGGTAGGCAACTAAATGTACACCAACATATTTGTTTATATTCAAATGCCAATAGACATAGAAAAATAATTTAATTTTTGTTAAATGCACTCAAAAGTAATAATACCTGTACTTGTATGATATAGCAATAATTTGTCTGAAAATGATAATTTTACACAGTGATGTTCTGGTGTAATTTCAACTTTCTGCAGTGTTGCAGGTATATTACCTTTATTAATTATTCTTATTACTTATTATACTCATCAGTAGATTATAAATTTATCTGTATAATATTTTTTTCTACCAAAATTAATAAATCGCCATTGTAATAAATCTCAAAATACCTATGTAAAAACTCGAAAGGACTAAATAAAACTGTTAAGGCCAATAATACGGGGCCAACGAATTTATTTTATTTTATTTTAATATTTATCTTAGTTTTAGTTTTATAAATTTTTATTGTGCAATAATATGTATCAAAAAAAGAAATTATTAATGCTAACTTATAATTACAAAGAGACTTATAGGGTAAAATTTAATAATGCCTTTCCTACCTGTAAGTACATACGAATATAATATGACTATACATGTTTAAACCATGGATTATTTTTAGACATTATTCAATCGTGATCGAAATGTGAACTTTTACTATCTATCATCGACGTTAACGAAGAATTACATTACTTTTCTGTTACCGTGTAAAGTAATTTAAAACTTAATTATAATTAAAATTAAATTGATTATTAAAAAGCGGGCAAGTGAGTAACGCTCATCTGTATCTAGTGAGTCGTTGTAATGGAAGTGTTACATTTGAATTCAATGATATAAAATCATTGTACACGAAAAACGATTCTGAGCAAAGACGATCTGTCAGCCTATAATATTACTTAGTATATATAATGTTATTATTGTGATTAAAAGTAATTAAATTTACTATTAGGCATTAGTCTTACACTAGATTTAATTCAAAAATTATGACAAAAAAATTACACTTGAAAATGTCATTGTGTATGAAATATACTATGAAAGTTTCAAGTACCCACAAATAATATTTATAAAGTACAACAAAATAACTAAAATCGTGGCGTTAATATGTAATTTTGTCCAAATATGAACTTAAAAATTAAAATGACTGTTTACAATAACTGTGTTTTACATATTTTTTAGATTTTTTGGTTACAGTAAGAGCTATTTATGAGAATTGTTGTTTTAAATGTTAATTTCTTAGCCATAAAAATTGAACGTTAGATAATTTTTTAACTACAGAAGAACCTCGATAAGTCAAAAACTTTGATAAGTCGAAAAAAATCCGTTCCCTTGCGAAAATCTCGATTACTCGAAAAAAACTAGATAATTCGAGCATTCTGTGCTCGGAATATAGACGAATAATGACGAATAATTTTATAATCATTTGTTCAATCGGCTTGTCCTTTCCGATAATTTGATAGTTGATAAATAAATAATAGCAAACCTCAAATCTTAAGTCAAAGTAGGATAACAAATTAACAATTATAAAGTTGCAACACATGTTCTATTATTTTTTTTTGGTGATATTTTATTTTCAAAATTACTATTTCTATACTTATACATTATAATTATATTTTTATTGGAACATTCTTGAGCCTATGTACATTTTAAAAATTATTGTTATTTCATTTAATTTTCATATTGATTATTGTATATATTTTTTTCAAATAAAAAAATGTAATGTAGACATGTAGTTTGTTATTTTGAAGGGCCATATTAACCTCAGAAAAAAACTGTGGGTCAGCTGACTTCCCGCCCCCCGGGTACGGGTTCGCTCTTGGGAATTAGGTAAAGTAAGTAGGTTATAGCCTTGAAAGTTGTAGGTACCTATTTTAATGGTAAAAAATACGTGTTAAGTATTAGACAAGTGCCAAATTGTACAAATTGTAGATAATGTAATTTTACCATCATTATTATACTAAGCTATTATAGTTTGCGATATTCGAATTTTATATACAAATGTTCTTATATTATTAATAAGTTATATTTTATTATCATAGTTATTTAAGGAATTGACTGGTGTTATTATTGCACTTAAGTGGAATGTGCTTGTGAGTGATCCACCTAAATAAAATGATTATATTATCTACGCTAATGACAAGTCAAATGACAAATGAATAACAGTTTTTGTGGGAAAAAACGGTGGTTGTCGATTGAAACATATATATATATATTCATGCAATAAATGAATAAACATAATATTATAAGCTACGTAGCTAAACTATATACTTAATATATATATTACATAACCTAGGTAATGTATATAGGTACACGAGTATACGATGGTACGAGAGTCGAGAATCCACTCGTTCCTTGTACCGGCATGCGACTACCCCCGACTCATGTACATATTGTTAGTTCAAAGTTATTATACTTATTTATGTCCGTGTGTTTATGTGTGAATGCGTGTATCGACGTTAATTGTATATCTGAGCCGGATGGGTTGGAATTGGTTGGGGGCAAAAGGGTAGGGCAAAAAAAAATAATAGTTGAAAAAATATATAGTATAAATTCAAATAGGAATTCAATTTCCATACAGAGTGGTGTTTTTCCGTTTTAACTTTAACGCTGTTCACGGTGAATGATAATGATATATATACAGGATGCTATTCTTTAAATCGTAACACTTAGTACTTTAAGTACTTAGTAGTTAGTATAGGTACAATACATCTCAAAAAGTATTATCGTTTTAGAAAATATTCTTTTTACATTATTTTAATTCGTCACTAAATTACATTTTTGAAAAAAGTTATAGTTTTTTATTATATTCTTAAGTTTAAAACTTTTGAATGAGATCATTGATTTTTAATTTAATACCCAAAGCAAAAAATATTTCTAATTATTTCGAATTTCCAGTATAGTTAATTAGTTATAAGTTAAAAAGTATACGATTTTAGCGAAGTGGCACAGGTCTCGACGAGGGTACTGTTCCAAAATATTATGTGGAGTGATAAATGATAATGCACTGGTAAGAGAGAATGAATAAGAAAGAGTGAAAATAAGATGTTTTGAGTATTTTAAGACATTTTTATGTAGTTTGGTACAGTACTTTATTCATTTACTAATTCAAAATTCTCAGAAAAATATTACAATTCGGAGTATGAAATTAAAAACAGGTGTTGTAGTTCAAAAAGTAAAAAGGTAAAAAAGTTCAGTAAAAAAACTAAAAGCTAACATTATTTTTTAATGAGCGTTTGAATTTAAAATTAATATGATAATATTTGATATTTAGCAATAAATTAACGAATTCATATTAATTAACATTTTTGATAATGTTTTTGTGATTCAAAAACAAATAACTATAGAATCATTACATTTTTATTTTTTACCAAACATTCATATTATCATTTTGAATTTTCTGTACATATTACATGGTGAAATTTTCAAATTTTTTTGACTCTCTTTGTTGGCTCAGTTGTCTCAAAGTTTCTTTATAATCTAGATTTGAGCAAATGCATATTCCTGCCCCCCCCCCCTAAATTACTCAACTGTACTCGACAACTGTAATCTGTTCAGCAATCAGCAGAGCGGTACCCACTTATCCACCTTTTATAATATCATACCTGTGTCATACCAATGTTTGACTTAAGCTAATAGATTATATAGCTGTATTATATTATATTCTAAATCTATTATCCTTATTATATAAAACTAAATAACTTAAAAATAACTTATTTGAATTTTGATTTTGATACGTCATAATTTTCAAGAAAATTATCCACTAAATAATATTAACAGTAGAAAAGCGGGGTTCTCATTTGAAAAAAAGAAGTTTGTGTATCCACA